TAACGCGAGTGAAACCGCGGGGCACGGCTATAATATATATTTTGGCAGGCGTTCGGTGAAAAATGAAACATTCCGTATCATAAAAATATATCAAAATATATATTAATATATCAAAATATATATTAATATACCAAAATATACACTAATATGCCAAAATATATCTGTCGACATATTTTGGTGACGTCATAGAAATATATATTATAGCTGCGTGTGCGGTCACTCGAAAATTTATATTGAAAATATGTTGTAATATGTCTTGCTATGATTCATATTAATATATATTATAGCTACGTCTGTGACGGGCTTTACCTATAAAAATTATATTTGTTTTTGTCAATATAGATAATAATAGGCTTGCTTATAAATGTGCTACTTTTTCTTGCCAACATAAACTAAATTTACCCTTTAAGAATTACTTCTTGCAAATATTGGCGAATCTTTTTTCATGTTCGGTAAACTCCGATGGTTAACGATTCTGTGTATCACGCGATCAATAGCGAGATATCAAAAACGCATGTCCCTAAGTTAGTAAAAATGCGGAACTTTGCTCGCCTGTACCCTAAGTTTTTATCTCGGGATGCATCGACCATTGATTGATCCAGTGTTTTATTTGCAGCAATGTTACATCAAAAAACATGTAAAAGAATAAAAAAAATGAAGAAAATGTAATTGCTTTTAATACACTCTTATAAGCATTTTTCAATAAACATGCACAAATTCGCAGTTAAAAGACCTCCTGCACATTGGATGACTCCTCTGGTCCGCATTTCGATAAAGAGACGTCAAAAAGCTTTAGTAAATTTAAAAATGTTTAGGACTGATGAGTCCTGGGTCTGTTTCAAGACCAAAAAGAACGCAGGTGTAGCAGTTTTACCCACTTTACCAGCTATCCTCACAGCACAAATGCTTCTTCTTCAAGACTCTTTTAAAAGGTTATAGGAAAGGAACATGTGCCTGAGTAAAGAATTCCATTAGCAAAATTGCAAATAGTGCGACACGGCATTGAGTCACCACTCACCACTCATTTCTTTGTTCGCGTTTATCACAATGAGCCCGTTGAAACGTAGGCCAGCGCGAATGATCTTATAGAGGAAAGTAGGAGGGATAAGGAGAAAACCCTCCTCAAAAAACTTGCCGTGGTATATTCTATACTATAGATACGCTTAATGACCTAACGCGATGGCGTTATTGTATAGGCGCGAAGTTTTTATTGGGGTATAAGGGGTGCCGCCTAACACCCAACGGCACCCAAGCCAACCTCACCTGCCCGCGGTGTACCCTGCCGACCAACGGACGAGGCTCTGGCGCTCCCCACCAACCCGCACTGGGCCAGCGTGGTGGGAGACGGCCCAAAACCCCCCCTAAAATGATAGTACATAAGAAGAGGCCCCAAGTGCCCGGCGGTGCTGGAGTCCGTGGCGGCGCTGACGGACGCCGACTCGGCGCCGGTACCAGGGGTGCGAAGAATCCCCGGGCGGCAAAAGTCCCCCGTCAAACGACCTTGGCCCTGGCAACGTACAACGCACGCACACTACGGACCGAGGAGAAGCTGCTGGAACTGGAGGAAGAATTGAGCAGGATTCGCTGGAGTATTGTAGGACTATCTGAAGTCCGAAGAGAGGGCGAGGACACGATGGTCCTTAAATCCGGCAACCTGCTCTATTTCCGGGAGGGCGAAGATCTGTCCCAGGGTGGGGTCGGGTTTGTTGTCCACAAGTCTCTCGTGAACAATGTTGTACAGATCGGTAGTGTGTCGAATAGGGTGGCGTACCTTATACTCAGAATCACCAAACGGTATTCGTTGAAGGTCATACAGGTATACGCTCCGACCTCGACGCACCCCGACGAGGAAGTGGAAGTCATGTATGAGGATATTTCTCGGGCAATGCATGCTTCCAGGACCCATTACACCGTTGTCATGGGGGACTTCAACGCAAGGCTGGGCAAACGTGGCGATGATGAGTTGAAAGTGGGGCAATTTGGAGTTGGAATCCGGAACTTCCGAGGTCAAATGCTAGCCGATTACATGGAGAAGGAGGGACTCTTTATGATGAACTCCTTCTTCAGAAAACGGCTGCATCGAAAATGGACCTGGAAAAGTCCGGATGGCGTGACAAAAAATGAGATTGACTTCATCATGTCGACTAAGACTCGGATTTCAATGATGTCTCAGTGATCAATTCGTTCAATACGGGAAGCGATCACCGAATGGTAAGAGGCACATTGAATCTAAATGTCAAAGCCGAAAGGAATCGACTGATGAAGTCCACGCTCCGTCCTGAAGCCATCCAGATCCAAAACCCCGAGCGCTTTCAACTCGAACTGCAAAATCGCTTCGATTGCCTAGAGAGCTGCGTAGACGTGGACAATTATAATGACAGGTTTGTTGAAGCTGTCCTTACGGTGGGCTCGAAGTTCTGCAAGCCCATCCGTACCAAAAAACGTAGCAAGATCTCGGAGCCGACTCTCAAGCTCATGGAGAAAAGGCGTGAGATGGGTCTGCAGTCCTCTGAAGATGCACGTCGGCAGCTCAATAGGCAGATTTCGAAGTCTCTGACTCGCGATGTACGCCGCTTTAATACTGATCGTATTAAAGAGGCCATCGAGCGGAACAAAGGCTCGAAAGTGTTCGCAAGAAATCTGTCTCTTGGACAGAGTTTGCTGACGAAGCTGAAGACAGAGGACGGCAGAATCATTTCGTCGCAACCTGAGCTTATGGCTGAGATCGAAAGCTTCTACGGACAGCTATACGCGACATCACGAGTACCTGTCACAAAGGCGACCGACCCAAGAGCCAAATTAACCCGACACTACACCGAAGATATCCCGGACGTCAGCCTGTACGAGATTAGTGTAGCTCTGAAACAGCTCAAAAACAATAAGGCGCCGGGTGATGACGGAGTTACAGCCGAGCTTCTGAAAGCAGGTGGACGACCAGTCTTGAAATCTCTTCAGAAGCTATTTAACTCTGTCATACTCGAGGGCAGAACGCCTAGCGCATGGCATAGGGGATTGGTGGCGCTTTTCTTCAAGAAGGGCGACAGGGCCCAATTGAAGAATTACAGACCCATCACGCTCCTGAGTCATGTATACAAGCTGTTTTCGAGAGTCCTCACGAATCGTCTCGCGCGCAGGTTTGACGACTTCCAGCCTCCCGAACAAGCCGGATTCCGAAAAGGGTTTAGTACCGTAGACCACATCCATACGCTGCGGCAGGTTATACAGAAGACCGAAGAGTATAACCTGCCATTATGCTTGGCGTTTGTGGACTACGAGAAAGCCTTCGATTCGATCGAGACATGGGCCGTGCTTCGGTCACTCCAAAGGTGCCAAATAGACTATCGATACATCGAAGTGTTGCAGTCGTTGTATGAAAACGCCACTATGTCAGTTCGACTCCGGGACCAAAGCACGAAGCCAATCCAGCTACAGCGTGGTGTAAGACAGGGTGACGTTATATCACCGAAACTGTTTACAGCTGCGCTGGAAGACGTTTTCAAACTTTTGGACTGGAGCGGACTTGGCATCAACATAAACGGCGAGTACATGACGCACCTTCGATTTGCAGATGATATCGTAGTCATGGCTGAGACCATGGATGACCTTGGCACAATGCTCGGCGACCTCAGTAGGGTGTCCCAACAAGTGGGTCTCAAAATGAACATGGACAAGACGAAAATCATGTCGAATTCCCATGTCGTACCCACTCCAGTGACTGTTGGGAGCTCTACACTGGAAGCTGTTGACCAGTACGTATACCTGGGACAAATAGTCCAACTGGGTAAGTCCAACTTCCAGAAAGAGGTTAATCGACGAATCCAACTCGGCTGGGCAGCGTTCGGGAAGCTACGTAGCATCTTCTCGGAACATCTACCGCAGTGCCTCAAGACGAAAGTCTTCAATTCGTGCGTGTTGCCAGTGATGACATACGGAACCGAGACGTGGCCGCTTACAATGGGTCTCGTAAGAAGGCTCAAAGTCACCCAAAGGGCAATGGAGAGGGCTATGCTCGGAGTTTCTCTGCGTGATCGAATCAGAAATGAGGAGATACGCAAGAGAACTAAAGTCACCGACATAGCCCACAGAATTGCAAACCTTAAGTGGCAATGGGCAGGGCACATTGCTCGCAGGACCGATGGCCGCTGGGGCGGAAAGGTCCTCGAGTGGCGACCGCGGACCGGGAAACGCAGTGTTGGCAGGCCCCCCACAAGGTGGACCGACGATCTGGTAAAGGTCGCGGGAAGCCGCTGGATGCGGGCAGCATGGGACCGATCGCTGTGGAAATCCATGGGGGAGGCCTATGTCCAACAGTGGACGTCTTTCGGCTGATGATGATGATGATGATGATGATGAAGTTGTTATTTACCTCTTCATTGCCAATAATGCGGTTTGCGGCGTAATGCTGCAACCTAACCAAAACATGTAGCAAGTACTTAACGAATCCATCCCAGAGGTGCGAGAAATAATTTCTACATTGAATAACACTAACGACTTAATACAACAGCAGTAAATGTAAGTTGGACTGGTAAAAACCGCAGCTCCCTGTAAGGGTCCTCCGAGTTTTCGTGAAGCTGTTTTATTACAGTTACCGGCGCCGCACAAAAGTGCGGCGCCGGTACCGCGAACGCTCGACAACAGGACTGTTGCCGCACCGCGCGTTTTGTGTGAAAAAAAAGTCCGTACGCTGTACGACAAACGCACCGCTTCGGCACCGCAACAGGCCGTCACGAAACGCATAAATTGAAAGCGCCCTTACTGTTATTATTCCTTGGTATTTATCCACAATGCTTGCATTCAGGACACTTATTCAAATGCACTACCTATATCAATATTGTGAAATATTCCCATTTTTAACTTTATCCTAGGTAATATTCAACAAATTTCTATTAATCATAACGATTATTGTTATTAGATACAAGTAGACAAATGAGATACAGATACATTAAGTTGCACCAATAGAAAATAAAATATATTAACCTTATCAAATAAAAAAAACTTACCTCTTTAGACTGCTTTGTTGCAAACATAAAGTCACCTTTAATTTGGAAGTCTTTTGCATCCTCAAACAACACGTTAGCATTATTTAGGTCAGTGGGATCACTGGCACTAAATACAGTGCTTGTTCTATCGGGTTTCCAGCGCTCCACATAGAACACCTTTGAGAAGCCAGGTCCAGATGACCAAAAGAAAGTCTTCACAAAACCATGGATCATTTTGAATGTTTTTCCTCCATCCAATGTGAGATACAACTGTAAAAATATTTGCAGTTAGGGAAAAAACTTTAGTAAAATTAACTTGTAAAACACATGAATGGTTTACAGATAAGGAAATTTAATATTCATCAATAATTTATTGCTACTGTAATTAACTTCAAAACAATTGATTAGTTAATAAAAATTCATGGCCAGTAAATATTATGCTGAAATAAAATTATACCTTTCTATTGGTGTCAACCTTGTCCAAGATAACATACTTGTCAGGAAATTCTTCATCAAAAGCGAGTTCACTTGGATGGAAATTCAAGTCGGATCTATGGATGTTTTGGCCATTGTCACTTGTGTAATAGAGTTTTTTGTTGGTTGAATCCACAAATACACACTGAAATCATGCATCATATTTGAAAATACCAATTTTAAAGGTTGTTCAAGAAGATTTAAAAAAATTAGAGTAGCTATATAGTTCAAAAGAAAATTTTACTAGAAAATATCTCACATGGTCCAGGCATCAGATAGTAACTTTTTGGTCAGTATCGTCTTTTCATTAATTAATTTAGCAGTTAAATGCTTAAAATATATGAATTGAGTTAGAATGATACTTACAAATTCAGGATATTTGGGGTGGTTAAAGAATTTATCCAGCTGAGCATAACCACTGTCAGGGGAATCACCCAGTCTGAAGTTTTCAGTTTTATTGGTGAAGTTCTTGCCATAGTCATAAGAAATGAAAAGGGCTGAAGGCGATATGCCACCCTTGGCACGTGGACTGGAGTCTCTAGCCAGACATATGATCACATTGGACCCTTCACCAACCCAGTGCACCATTAATTGTTGATGACTATCATTTAGATGTGTTGTCTGTTAAATTAAAGTTTCAAAAAATATAATGTTGTTCTTAATAAAATTTCTGTTCTATTAAAATTAATATTTGGATGACTATTACAAAAAAATCACATTAAATTATGTCATTAAATTATGTAAGCTTCAGGAATGTATGTCATGGAAATATACAAATTATTTTTAAAAATATAAGATAAATCTGATAAATATACAAACTTTAAATAAAAGTAACAATAAAAAAAAAGTAACGGAAATAATATTATAAGATCTTAAAAAACAAAAAAGGAATGCCAAATTTTAAATCACTATTTGCTTATTGAATTCTGTGGAAAAAAGTCTCAAAGAAAAAAGTTATGGACATGAACAAAATGGGCATTGCATGTTAAAACTTTTGAATCTGTAAATAGGTAAGAAGACGAAAAAAAAGAAAATCTTCGTAAATGTAGATTAAAGTACGATAAAAATGCAAGTCAGATAACACTACCAACTTAAAAATACATTTCTTTGCCCTACACCTTTCAGTCATATAAATAGAAGAAAAACAACAACAATAGGTGATCTCCGCAGCAACATTGATACGGTAATAAAAATCAAAATAACAAAGGGGGCATATTGGACTTAACAAGGAAATGGATCGTTACCCATGTACTTATATTTTTCTGTGCTTCGGGTGTCGGGGTCGGAATCGTATCCCGTTTTCTCCTTTCCAGCTGAGAGTCAAGTGCGTCTTCCTCGAATCTGTTTATTACAGTTACTTTCTGCAAGTTCTGTTTTTCTTCCGCCACGTACAAAGTATCACCCGGCGTTCCATATTGACGCAAACAAGACGCACTTGCAACTATATGCACTAAAATTATGAAACTAACACGACGTCCGAACGTCACCAACATTTTGTGATCACTGCCAAATCACTGCATATCCGAGTCCGAGTCCGAGATGATCTGTAAAATTCAATGACCTGCACACAAATAATTCTTGAAGTGAGCAACAAATTACGAAACTTGCGCGAGTGACGCTTTGAATCAATCTGAGTTTGTCATTGTCATCCTTCTGTCAACTGTCACATAACTGTCAACATATCTTTTTTTTAAGTTCCTTTTCTTACCTTTTCAGGGAAGGCAAAGAAAGCAATGGTGTCGATTCTGACAATGCTTTAAACCTTATCTTAAATTTGACAACAGTGTATCCTTGTCCAAGTCTAAAAGAATGAAAAGGAGACTGATGTTAAAAGAGATTTTGGGGATGTTTTACAGCTGTTCCCCACTAGCGGAATAATAATACGGCAACACTCTTTCAAATTACATATATGAGCTATATATTAAAAAATATTCACAACAAACGGTAACTTCACAAAAATACAATATTTACGAACAAAATTTTCTCTTGAAGTCCATTTTACCATGACAACTATTAACTAAATCGAAAATATAAAAAACGTTATTATAAAAAACAAGGAAGAGCAAAGATCAAAAAAAAGCGAGTGTGCTTATGGTAGCTTTCCAATTACAGCATTATAGCGCATTATACGGCATAATGCTTAACGTTGAGTGTTTCAACTACAGCAACGCTTCGCACAATCGAGCACTCTCAAAAGTAATGCTTTCGTGTGATGCGTGAAATCGTACCAACTCAGAGACAGAAAATTAACAAGTGTTATTTCTTTAAGTTGGCATTGATCGAAATATTTTATTTATATGTTATCGTTAGTAATATTATTTTTTGTTGAAAAATTATTAAAACTTTCGTTTCATTATAGTTTTTTTTAAATAATCAAAGTTAATTCAAACTGTGTTAAAAAATTAAATATAAATATGGATGAAGGTATAAACATAGACTTTTTTTTTCAACACTGAACTTAGCGCACTCTGCTGGTGCATTTGAAAACTAATTCACGTTCCAATTAAGCATCAGCCTAATTCGGCATTGTGCGCCACTGAGTCGCATTATGCTCTGTAATTGGAAAACCACCTATGACCACACGACTGAAGTGGAACTTCTTTAGTTCCAATGATCTGTAAATCATAAACTTAACTTGAAGATTTGTTGATTAAAAAAAACACCAATCCGCGCTGGGTCCATTATCACCCACCAATTTGCGCTGGATCCGTTATCACCCACCAATCCGCACTGGGTCCATTATCACCCACCAACCCGCACTGGGTCCGTTATCACCCCCGTATCTGTGCTGGGTCCGTTATCATCCACCAACCCGCACTGGGTCCGTTATCACCCACCAATCCGTATTGGGTCCGTTATCACCCACCAATCCGCACTGACAGTGACTTCTCTCCCGTTGGTACAAGAATGGTGATAACGTCTTTCTTCTCCAAAACGCGATGTGGCACAGAGTACGGTGGTTGAAGAGTTCTTCGGCAATTATCGTATATGGGGTAATATTTTTATTTATTTAACAGTTAGAAACTAGTGATGTAACGAATATTCGTATTCGCATTCGCGAATATTCGTATATTTTTAAATATTCGCATTCACATTCGCATTCGCAAAATCTCTGCGAATGTTTTGCGAATATGAATATTAGAAAAAAACAATTTGAAGAAGTTGTAGTTCTGCCTTTCCTTGAATATTCATTGTTACACAGTTTGCATTTAGCTCATTCAGCATCGAAAAATGTGAAATAAGTCCATGTTTCACTAGAATTCGATTTACTCATGTTAATAAATCACTATTACCACTCACAATCACTAACCTCAAAATTCACTTGTTTTGTTTACGGAAAGACCGGTGCGAGCGGAATGACACTTCAGTCGGATGAGTTCATATCAACTCGGCAATTCGGACGAGACTGCCACCATGCCATAGACAATTGGCGCCAATTTAAAAAAAAAACTAAATATTCGCATTCGCGAATGTCGGTACCAGACATTCGCATCCGCATTCGCATTCGCGAATGTTCAAAAAATAACATTCGTTACATCACTATTAGAAACAGTACATACTTATAGTCTGTTTTTTAATGGCAGAGACAAAAATGATATTGGTGTCGATTCTGGCAGGATTCTCTAAACTTAAAACTAAATTTGACATCAGTCTGTCCTTTTCAGTCTGTATAGAAAATGACAGAGATACACTGTTGTCAAATTTAAGTTTAGCTTTAGAGAATCATGCCAAAATCGACACCATTACCTGTGCTGCCGGTTTTTGCAGTTCTTTGTTAAATACTCCCAATAAATACAACGCATAATTTTCAAACTAGCAAACTTGCTCAGTGGTGCTAGCAACAAAATATTGAATCAGCTGTCATTTGTCATTAACAATATTTTCGGTACATGTCACGATCACGAATTTTCGCTCTCTTGTCGCTCGGCGTATGAGAGCTAAATTTACTTCAATTTAAATTGTTCTCCACCTCATCTGGGCAAAGTGAAATAAATGGTACAATGACGCAAACGAATTCCTGAGCAGTACTTTGTAAATACTTTTCCCTACCTCAAAACATGTGTATGCATAACAATTGAATGTTACATGTTTACGTTATGGGTGTCTTGCAGATGAGGTATAATTGGCTGACTCGAAGTTTTCGATTTGCTGCTGGGATAGTGTCGAACAAGAGAATGTCGTTTACGGAGTCACCTGCCAAGGCGGCATTATGCTGCGAGGACGGCGGAGAAGGAGCCCCACCGACATTCACGATGTATGAGGCGTTGAAGGATTCTTGCCAAAATAACGCTACATTCTTCCAGCCCGACGACAGCGAGAATGGTCAACGGCTGTACCAAGGCTTCATGACACTGATAGACCATATAGACACTGTATGGCCTCTTGTTGATCATGTCAGAAAGGTAACAAATGAAATCTTTAATGAAAAATGTACAACTTCTAAACCTAATTTCTTAATGTAACTTCAAAAAAGGGTTGTCATAGAGCTTATTTCGCCAGCAATGGTCATTCTTAATATTTTAATAATTTCACCATCTTCAAAGTCCAGAAAACTATTTGTGTCATTTTTTTTTTATTGCTCTAACATTATATGATAAATTACATTACAATGAAACTCAAAAATACTTGAAATGACCTCATTATTGTATTTTGTAGACTAATGTATTCATTCATTATTACACAATAACTTTGATTCTAATCTGATCTCACAGTATTTGAACTTTGCCCAATAGAATTAATGCACATTAAAAAATATTCTTATCACATGCTTTCATTTTAAGATATTGGAAGAGTTTATATAAGAATGATTTTATCCTCACATAAACTATTCATTATTGTTTTCATTGTAAAAATGAATTTAGAAATTACACATTTTATAATGAATAATAAATAAACTAATATAATTGTCACAGTAATAAATAATTAAGGTTGTAAGCACACAATTAACATTTCTACTCCCACACCCTATAATTACTTATATTTGTTTCTAATTTATTTAAAGGTTATATACATTTCTTTTTTTCAGGTTGCACCATCATATGATTTTGATGCAAAATCTCCAGGAAATGGATATCGCAGTTTTGTATCAGTTGTGGATTCATGTGTTTTACATGGTCTCAAACTCAGCAGACAAGTGTGCACTGGTCGAGATGCACTTCTATTTAGAAAGGGTTATTTTGTAAAGTAAGTACTTTTTATGTATTATTATGGTTTACAAAAAAGTTACATATAATATTTAGTATATCCACCAGTTTTCTCACTTGGATTTTTATATTCTTGTTAATAGCCTCCTTAGTTGTAAAACAGCAAACAATAGTTATTAGAAGTATGTACATACTAGCATAACAATTTTCTAAATGAATAAGTCTATTAAGTTATCATTTTATGTAATATGTTTGAATTAAAACTGCATAATTGAAATGGTTAACAAAATGGCTAAGAGGAAGGGGTACACAAAGAAATTTATAGAGAATTGAATAGGGAAAATATTGGAATCAACATAAATGGCTCAATGCTGAACCAGCTAAGATTCGCTGATGATGTTGCTCTTATAGCTGATAATCCTAAGACCTTGCAGAAAACAGTTGGAGCAACCTGGGAAAGACTGGAAAAGGATCACAAGGAATGGAAAGGTTTGAAAGAGGCCTATGTGGCTAAAGGTCACGCAGAATAAATAAATAAAAAAACAAAATCATGAGGCCCCCTTTTATATGTCACCTGCTGATGTGATCTTTGCAGCATTTGACAATGTAATTTGCTTATATTTGTAGGGAGGTTGAATCTTGTGGGCAATTACTGGCATCTCTTGGGACATGCCTCCATCATCTACACACTTTACTTTCGTGGGCACCACCCGGTGAACTGTTCCCAACTGAACCACATTCTCCGGAAGAATTGTTCTCACAAGCAGACACCATTAATCAGTATTGTTTTTATGGAAGATGTCTTGGGTTTCAGGTAAGTTCCTACATGCTTTAATTAACCTCATCTATTCAATAGCATTGGCAAGGGAAAAGTCATAAACAGCAAGAGTTCTGGCAAATACAATTTGCTATTGGCAGTAGACATGCACTAAAGCTATATTTGTAGCATACTTTTAAAAGCTTGACTACTAACGAAATAAATACAGAGCAATCATGCGGTAGCGGTGGGGAAGGGGCTTTACTTATTATGGCTAAGGGTCATCCATTAAGTATGTAACACTAATTTCGTGTTTTTTTACCCCTTTACCATCGTTGCCGCAGTTGGTCACATTTGTGAGTCGCCCTCCCTAGTGTGACATTACAATCATGCTTTACTATTTTTCAGATTGAAATAATTAAATTAAAACAGCGGTTCTGAATATAGTTCTGAAAATTTGCCAACAAAATAAATTAAAACTGATTAGATAGAGTTCTATAAATGTACTCTGAAGTTTTTTGATAGTAGTTAAAAAGTGTTCAATTTTGATATGCAACCTCACGGAACTTGCCAGACGTCCCGATTTTCAAATCAAAATTAAATGTCCTGCGCGGGACAGTCCAATCCCGCGCAGGACATTTTTCGTGAATAACTCGACCGTGCGTGCAGCGTACTGAGACGGCGCGGGCGGGGTGGCACAGACAAGGCGGCGCGTAATGAAGAACTCTTCAAACAGACTCAATAGATATTTAACGATAGGGTAAATCTGATTTATAATATCATATTTCTCTATATATGAATCTTAAATAAAAAGATAAATATTCGAAAATATATGAATCTTAAATAACAAGATAAATATTCAAAAACTTTTATATTCGTTTCTGTTACTATGTACCGCTTTCGACGAAAGAAACCCGCTTTTTTCACTCGAAAAGTACTTAAATCCCGTCTTGGCAAAAAAAAAAAACTGGCAACGCTAATCCAAACCATGATATAATTAAGGGATAACAAAAACTTGTTGTCAAGTGCACTATATACAGACAACGTCATCACTTCATTTTTTATTGACCTTGACTACTATAATTTCTCAGTGTGCAGTCTGGCTGTGCTGTAGCTTCATAGCAATTGAGTTGTTTGATCAACGTATTGATATAGCAATGTCAAAGGTCGAAAGGAAAACAATCTGGAATCAAACCAATAATTGGAATGATTCTGTTTAACCTAAACGTAAATTTGTAGATGGATAGATTATAGTGTCAATCTTCTTCCTATTAAATACTATTAAGGTATCCAAAACGTTACCGTTACAAGACTAGCTTTTTCAGTATGCACTGAAAAATATTACTGATACGTTACTTTCTTTCTAATCCAGAGCAAAATTCATATCGGAGACCCCACGGTTTCCAACTAAGCAGCTTAGAGGGTATTCGCAGGGTTTTTAGCGGATATTATGCCGTAAAGCGCCCGTAAGAGTTACGGGGTCGTTAGTGGGCAGCCACTGCGGGGGCTCAAGGCTTGCGGGAGCCAGGTGTGAGGTCCATTCGGCGGTATGCCTCTTAAAGGCGCCATCGTCTGTAAACGGAGGTTTTGCCTGTGTCACAAAAAAAAGGGCAAAATTCATGTGTTGGTTTACTATTTATTTTACACTAGATTTGCATCCTGGACATCGTACGCTTTGTTATTAGTTGTTATAGATTCCCACAGGAACCTAAAATTTTTGGTCATAAAAAGTAGCCTATGTATGGATCTAGTTAATAAACTATATATATGACAAATTTCATCCAAACCCGTTCAGTTTTGGCGTGAAAGAGTAACTTTAAGTAACACATTCGCGTTTATAATATTATTAGAAGGAAGTAGGATAGGATTACTATAATATTTATGACCTGTTGAAATACTGTTTAATACAATTTTGCATTGCTATTTTTTAAAACACCAAATAATTTCTGTTGACTCATAAAAATTACTGCAGCTTAACTTCCTACCCAACTACCGTTAACAAAATGCTCACTTCCTAATTAAAACGGTAGCGGCAGACAGTCCTTGAATCATCCTGATATTTGCTTGTGTGCAATAATTGTCTAACTTTATCTCTTTTCTTGATCCCCTTCAAACTTAAAGAACAATGTAACAAGATTTCTGAATCTATTCGAAGTTGAAAATGGTAGTCAACAATAAAGAATAAAAAATTATATGGAATACGAACTGCGGTAAAAAGCGGTTCCGCCCACGCAACGAAAAAACTGTGATCAATACGCCGATCATGGGATTATTTGGGATTTCCGTTTAAAATTATCTTACCCAATGAATGGATAGCCGAATGCCTTTGCAAATATTTAATTTGTCAAAGTATTTTTGTTTTGGCTGTGTGCGCGTCGCGTTATTATTGAAGTTTAGCTGTATGAGTTTGGAAACATGTTTTGTCGGCCTTTGTTGTAATGTTTCCATTTATTTTATAATTCGTTGGTAAAAAAATATGTATCAAAACCAAACTTCCCCAGTTCCTGCCTTCGATGCGTGGTATACTGAAAGGAATCTCGATATGCATGGCGGGTTTCTCCGAGGCATACTACAGCCACGGCAACCTGATCAGCTCCGTGTGGACCGGCGGCCAGTATCTCATCGACCCCGAGATGAGGGCGCGTCGCATCGTCAACATATCGCAGTCGGCCAGTGTTGAATTCTGCAAGGCATTCTGGTTTCTAGCTGAGAGCGGTGAGTTGTAGCATTTGTTTTTGATGAACTTAGGTCTTGCCTTTAACGCACAGCGTACTATAGCCACGGCAAACTAATCAGCTCCGTGTGGACTGGCGGCCAGTACCTCATCGACCTTGAGATGAGGGCGCGCCGCATCGTCAACATATCGCAGTCGGCCAGTGTCGAGTTCTGCAAGGCATTCTGGTTTCTAGCTAAGAGCGGTGAGTTGTAGCATTTGTTTTTGATGCATTTAGGTCTTGCCTTCAATGCGCAACATCGTCAACATATCGCAGTCGGCCAGCATCGACTTCTGAAAGGCCTTCTGGTTTTTAGCTGAGAGCGATGAGTCATAACATTTGGTTTTGATGAATTAAGGTCTTGCCTTCAATGCGCAGCGTACTATAGCCACGGCAAATTTATCAGCTCCGTGTGGGCTGGCGGCCAGTACCTCATCGACCCTGAGATCAGGGCGCACCGCATCGTCAACATATCGCAGTCGGCCAGTGTTGAATTCTGCAAGGCAATCTGGTTTGCAGCTGAGAGCGGTGAGTTGTAGCATTTGTTTTTGAAGGCAAGACCTAAAGTCTTGCCTTCAATGCGCGACATCTTGAACATATCACAGACGGTTAGCGTCGAGTTCAGCAAGGTCTTCCGGTATTTAACTAAAAGCTGTGAGCCCTAGCTTGTATATAGTTTCTGTCAAGAAAACATCGTTAAAAAGTTGTTGTGAACACCAAGAATTATGAAACTAAAGTTAATCCCCTCTCTGCCTTTGAGTATATATTAAACGAGAGTAGCCCTAAGCACTTCATTCCATAAAGTTTCTGTCAATTCTGGCGGGGGACGAGGTACACACATATAGCACACTAACTCAAATACGCAATACTCACGCAAACACTAGCGTGTTGTTGCTATGAACGCACACTTTATAAAAATCACGTCACATAAACAATAAATGCACACACTAACAATTTTTATGTAACTATGCAATTGTTCGAGCGTACAGAAACACAAAAATTAGGGATGGGACCTTAAAAGAATGAATGATATTTGAATGAACAGTTCTTGATGAATGCACAAAATGTTTATTTATAATGAAACCAAAAAGTTTAATTTATAAATATCTATCAGAAAGTTCATTTATATTTTAATACTTATGATTTATATCATGCACAAAATTCTTATACATAAAATTCAAAGATTTCGATCTTGCTAACTGCGTTTTGTCGGATACCCTGCCTACATTTAATACCTTTAACTCCCCCCTAATAATAGTAAACGCAGTGTTTTTTGACAAAATACTGTATGGATGTATTGCGACATGCAAAACATGAACGAAAAATTTGTGGCGATGTAATAAAATATTCACTTAAAAAATTAGGAAATAGATTTCAAAAAGGATCAATCACAAACGAAAAAGCAAGCTAGCAACCAACCATCTTTATTTCCAGAAATAATGAAAAGGGTGCCAAGTCTCATGTCGTCAACAGTGGCTGTGAACAAGCTGATCACGATACCTCCAGAGCCGATCACAGTGACCACTATGGAGGGGAAGGAAACCACAGTGCTACCGCCGACAGTTCATATAGGCCTCCAAGGCTTGAATGTGAGGTTGATCAGCGTTAACAAAAGAACGGGCATGGTAAGATTTTATTGCATATTTACCGTTTGACGTTTAAATGACATGTGACTTCCCATACAGGAAAACGCCGTAATACACAAAGAAACGTTTCAGCGGCATATCTAAAACCAGAATTTTTGATTTCGTTTTTTTTAACTGAATTACGCAACATGATGATAAAGAAACTACTTTTTATGGAGTCCATAAACATGAATAAATAACGTAAGATTTCAAAAAATTTACAGATACCTTATGAGGGCCGAATAGTAGTCAATTAATCTATTTTAAACTTTCACCCTTAAGGCAGGCGAAGGTGCATCAAATTTCCCCCCATCCGACGACATAGTGTTCCACTGCCACGGCGGCGGTTTCGTCGCGCAAAACTCTAAGTCCCACGAGACTTACTTGCGCGAGTGGGCGGCCAAACTCTACGTTCCCATACTGTCCATAGACTACAGTTTAGCACCGCAGGCCCCGTTCCCTAGGGAGTTTCCTAGAACAGAGATCATATATTTTACTACACGGAAAGAGCTCAATTCTATTAATCTTGACTTTAACCGCCTTTGACGAAACTTATGTCTTTTTCTTATTTTTAGCATACAAAGGTGACATTTTACCTTTTTAATCCATATTTTAATAAGGATGGTTATAGTTTATCCTTAAATATGGTGCAAATAAAACTTATGGCATCCCGCGCGCGCCTTTATCATTCTACATTTCTTTTACTGCGCAGCGACTTGCGCTAACTTCATTGTCGCCGTTAAGGTCGAATAGCAGTCAATGAGTCCGTTTTAAACTTCCACCCTAGGCAGGCGAAGGTGCATCGAATCTCCCCCCATCCGACGGCATAGTGTTCCACTGCCACGGCGGCGGTTTCGTCGCGCAAAGCTCCAAGTCCCACGAGACTTACTTGCGCGAGTGGGCGGCCAAACTCAACGTGCCCATACTGTCTATAGACTACAGTTTGGCACCGCAGGCCCCGTTCCCTAGGGCCTTGGAGGAAGTGTTCTACGCGTACTGCTGGATGGTCAACAACTTCAAGGAAATTGGGACGACAGGTAATTATCTGTTTTTATATCAAATTCAGTCGCATGCGCTTCAAATGTGGGCGGACATACTCAAAGTTTTCATGTCGTCGCCAGACTAAAATTTCTAAAAATGAGACTTATTAAACAAGATATTATTTTAAGGTTGTACAGATCAGAGCTTCAAATATCGTAAAATGTAATTTGTTAGGTTAGAACTGTGGCCAAAGACACGAGCTAACTACTTACGCCATTGAGCTCCTATAGTCTTACTCTGTTCCTTTACTTTGCAGTTTGTTAGGAAACATCCATTCTCTTTGACTTTGTATATGATTTCATACGGTAACTTCTACTTTATGTTGTAATATTAGGTAAACGGGTAGTATTCGCGGGCGACTCGGCGGGCGCTAACCTAATAGCGGGCTGCACGCTCAAGATCCTGCAGGCGGGGCTGCGTGTGCCCGAGGGGCTGTTCATGGCATACGCGCCGCTGCTGGTCAGCTTCATACCGAGCCCCGCCAGACTTCTGTGCCTGATGGACCCGTTGCTGCCGTTCGGGTTCATGATGAGATGTCTCAAAGGTATCTATGTAGCAAAACTTTATTAGGTTCAGCAAATTATTGATAGTTCAGATTTAGCAAATTATCTATAGTTTTCATTTAGCAAATTATCGATAGTTCAGATTTAGCAAATTATCGATAGTTCAGATTTAGCAAATTATCGATAGTTTAGACTTAGCAAATTATCTATGGTTTACGTTTAGCAAATTGTCGATAGTTCAGATTTAGCAAATTATCTATAGTTTACATTTAGCAAATTATCGATAGTTCAGATTTAGCAAATTATCTATAGTTAAGATTTAACAAATTATCGATAGTTTAGGTTTAGCAAATAATTATCGATAGTTAAAATTTATGAAATTTTGTGTGAAATATGTGGTATTTAAAAATGGGTGGTAAAAAGCTATTAATCGAAAGTCAAGATTCGCAGTTACACAATATTTTAAATTGTCTATTCATTACAATCACTCATTTCAAGCATATAACAATAAATGGCTACTTATTAGCATGGGCGTAGCAAGAATGGGCGGCAATGTCCGACCTAGAAATATCTTTGGCCACCCTAGAATTCGAGTTTTACATTATACAATTTAAAAGTTAATTTCAGAATGCATGTAAGTTCAATGAAGGCTACCGTTTTTTTTCTCACCAGATGGCGCCATTCTTGAGTGAGGTCCTGAAGTGTAGCTTAGTTGTAGTGTAGTTTGTTAATCGTTAGCGCTTGAAATCAAAGTTTACATTTTAATACAAAAGAACCGTATCGTAAACATAATCGGTCATGCCACAGTGTTTGTTACGCAGTTCGTTTTTTTTCGAAAAAAAGGTGAACATAATAAATTTTCTTAGCTTCGCTTTTAAATAACTGACATTCATTGACGCGTAACTCGTATTTGCCATATTTAACATATATTCACAACTTTTTTTAATTAGAAATAAACCCACGTAGTCAACCCACAAGCAAGAACATTCACATACAATACAATACAATACAATACACAATTCTTTATTGAAAACACCACAGTATAGTACATAAATGGGGTAAATACATTATGTTTAAACATAGTGATTCAATGGGCGGTCTTATCGCTAAAAGCGATTTCTTCCAGACAACCTTTGGATGGAGAGGATTGAAAGAAACTGGAATCGGTGGTGTTATAAAAAAAATAAAAATAAAAACAAGGGATATAAAAATGTATATAACTATATATTTTAAATATATGTACATACCATACATACATAATATATACACATAATATAACTATAAGATATATACATATAATACAAATATATGACACATACATACATAGACTACACATATATAAGTTTAGTCCAGTCAGAAAAAAAAATATTAAAAATAAAAATAAAAATGCAGTTACATCGACAAATAATGGTTGAAAATAAGATTTTTGAAAATATAAATAGATTGTGCTCGTCTTATGGTTACTGGAAGAGAATTCCACAGGCGAACAGCTTGGACGGCAAAAGAACGACCATAGAAGGTTGTGTCATGAGTAGGAATTTTTAGGGTTAAATTTTCTGATGACCTAAGAGATAACGCGTTTGAGCTATGAAGGTAATTGAAGCATTCCTTGAGATAGCGCGGGGACAAAGGATTGAACAATATATTGTAGAGAAGTGTGAGGATGTGAGTATTCCGGCGAAGTCGAATTGGTAGCCACTTGAGCTGTGATCGAAATTGTGACACATGATCATATTTGCGTAAGCTAAATATGAAACGAATACAGAAATTTTGAAGTCGCTCAAGCTTATTAAGCTGGTCTTCCGTGAGATCAAGATAGCAGGCGTCAGCGTAATCAAGAATAGGAAGCAGCAGAGACTGTGCTAGGGAAATTTTGGTGGCAGTAGGGAGGAAATTGCGGAGTCTCTTCAGTGAGGCTGCCGAAGCAAACAGTTTTCGGCTAACAGCTTGTAACTGTGGACCCCAGCTCAAGCAATTATCGACAGTTAATCCTAAATTTTGAACTGAAACTTTGAATGGTATATTGGTGCCAGCAAGAGTTATGGTAGGAAGTAATTGCCAGTTCACTCTGGCAATCAACCTCGAGCTACCAATGATGATGCACTGTGTTTTGGAGGGATTTACTTCTAGCCCGAAAGATTCGCTCCACTCTACAATTTGTCGCAGATCATTATTTGTGGCCAGTATTGCTTCGGATAATTGTCCGAGAGGGGCTTGCCTATAAATTTGAAGATCATCTGCATACAGGTGGTAGGAAGAAGAAATATTATTGGAAATAGAATTAATAAATATAGCGAAGAGAAGAGGAGATAAAAACACATTTCGGACACCAAACGTTACACAAGCTCCTCTAGCGACGGATTCATACGCGATAGCCCTCATTTGAAGGTTTTGAAATACCTTACGCTCATATTGTTTAATATTGTTATTACCAAAGAAAAAAGACGAGCGCGAGGCATTTCAAAACCTTCAGCGGTCAGAAATATGAAAATGAAATCATAAGCGATAGCGATAGCCATAGTCATAGACGATTGGTCCCCAGAATGCTACAAAAGTTAATAATCTTTCAGCGTACGCCAGTCCTAATGGTAGCAAAAAGGATGACAAACAACAGGGTAACAACCTACCCAACGCAGTATCGAATGCTACTACGCCACAGGACAGCAACGGGTTCCTTAAAGTCAGCGCATCTCAAGGTATATATGTCGTAGCAATGTGGCTGAATTGACAATTAGATGGAGGCCGTTTGTTTAAACCGACTTTCAATTTGAGGCCTAGGATTATTGTTAATTGAACATTGCTTAGGGCTTTTGTTATTAAACAAAAACGTAGGTAATTGTTGATGTGAGGTGGTTGAAAAAAAGAAAAGATATTTTTCTATAGACTGCATGGTTTACTGTAAAATTAAATTAAGGGATACAGATCGTATTTTTTACAAGATGGCAAGAGAGTCTAGAATGTTCGCTTCTGCCTCCTCCCGGTGTTGCCAGTCCCTTCTGTGTGTCCGTGGCAAAATATTGTTGTTTTTCCAACAGTAAATCATGTTCAGGTCTAATAGGGCTAATATTTACAACTTGGATAGTCATCAAATTAAGTCATCTTGTTCAAGAACTTGCCTGGAGAAAAACCAATCTATTATTACAATTACATTTACAAATTAAGAGTAAATGATAGCGTTGTAAATTCCTAAAAAAAAACTTTTGACTGCGGTTTATCATGAGCCTGTGAATATCCCTACTTCTAACGCACAAACTTTTAATAGGTGAGTGCTTATGACAAATGCAGCCGGGACCAACGACTTAACGTGCCCTTCGAATCACGAAGTTGCTTGAGATTAAATAAACTTAAGGTCACCCATCCTATGAGCCGCCATTATGAAACTTCTTTAACATCCATGATCGCGAACCGAACGCGATATGAGCTCCTCAATGGAAGGATGCATAAAAACACAAACATTTCTTTCAAATATAGAGGGCATAAGCGAAGAACCCTCATCGTTCGAGGAAGTGTCACCTTCAGATCTAGCTGAACTGCAAGCGCACAAATCCGGCAGCGAGAGGAGAAAATCTTCGGACACCACCATCAGTGCGGCTTCACTGCAGAGCGAACACACTGCCACAGGTAAACTGAAGCATTAAGCCGCGTATACATTTGATAACACTTATTTATAAACTGTTTATGAATAATAAAAAACGAGCGAGCCCTACAGTAGTGGCATATGATGTGTAACATTTGAAACCTCACCTTATGTTAGTAAAAAAAGAAATAAAACCTACTACAAAAGGAATAAGCCATTTGAACGCGACTTCCTGTTACACACTTCCGTCCCATATCTCGAAATCACTGCCACAAATTGCAGGAAAGCGAGAGGAAAGATGTTACAAATCAATAATAATGATAATAAATATTTTCAACACACCAATTAGCCTAGCCCCAAAGTAAGCACTGCAAGGCTTGTGTTATGGGATACTAGCGTTACGGATAGAATACATATACTGTACATGTATAAATAAGTATGTAGAAATACATATTAAACATCCATGACTGGAGTACAAATGCTCGTATTCATCACACAAACATCTGCCACCACCGGGATTCGTACCCGGGACCTCTCGAGTCGGTGACACCATGAACGCCATACAAACCACTCGGCCGCGGAGGTCGTCAAATGAAATGAATTTGATCACCTTCTTTATAAACAAGTTTACCGTCAACACTGTTTCTAAAACTTGGGCGTCCACACTTGTCTGTTGTAGCTTGATATCGCCCGAGGATGTAATGTTGCTCTGTGCTGCTGTCGTTAGTAATTCATGAAAGTATGATTACGTAACCGAAAAAGCTCTAAAAGCATCGAAACTTGGTCATTGGACTGCACTACTTCGATGTTAAAATACACCACACTTGCACACCTGTCAACTTTTGTTTATTTACTAAATTTTTCGTCTTGCTCTCCATTCAGAGTGGAGAACACGGCAACATGTATCTGAAACAATGTTTTATCACTTTTGTTTATAAACTGTTTCTAAACTGTTTACAGCGGTGATGCAACATTGTGAAACATTATTTATAAACAAATGTTTCCTAATGAATACGCAGCTTTATGGTCTCTCTAGGAATCGTCAATTAAATTTATTCCACATTGGAATGACATAATTTATTCTATTGCCTAAAATTGTTGTTGTTTCTGAATACGAGCGCTCTTCTTAGCACGCATTGAAATTAAACTGATAATTGGCTGTAGTATTTATTTGCGTTAGCACTTTTTTAACGCGAAAATACGGTTTGCATTTGAAACCTTGCTCTCAAAACTCCTGTATAATTTTTTGTGTCGTTCATTCTAAGTACAAGGCGTTCGTCTAGAAATTTCGATCCAGTTTCCATTAGGTATGCGAAATCTTTTAACATTTGGAATTATGCCAGCGGAAGCCTTTATTCTCAGTCACCCCTGGGGGGATTATTTGATTAGGCAAATAGGAATGAAAAAATTGAAGTGGGGGCAATGACTTCATTCCTATTTTCCTTCGGTGGCAATCCCCGTAGGGCGACTGGGAATAAAAGGCTTTTAGTAATATGATGCTGTATTTATTGTTCAAAGGCGTAAGTCCACCCGAGGACGGTTCTCAGCGTTATGTGTCCGCGTTTCTGGAGCGATATGTTTTGGACAGCGACACCGACTCGGAAGGCCGAAAACTGCCTGTACAACGCTCACACAGGTACTTTTAATATAAACAGGATGTACAAAACAATTTTTAGAAAACATCTTCATCAGCCTATTAATGTCCCCACTGCTGGGGCACAGGCCTTCCCTATGGATGGAATAGGGAGAGATTGGGCCCTGACCCACCACGCGGGCCCAGTGCAGACTAGCGGGTGCTAACGACTGCAGATGCAGCGTGGACCAATGGCTTAACATGCCTTCCGAAGCACGGAGGAACTCAAGATACATGATTTTTGGTCATCCATCCAATGACCAACCACTGCGTTGCTTAACTTCAACGATTGCAGTCGAACGCGCTAACCATTCGCGCCATCGAGCATCTCACGTTTTGCTTTTAGAAAACGATCTCATGTTGTACATTATGGCGTCTCGCTAGCATGTGACGTCACACGACTGTTATTAAAACGCCAAACGATAAAATGTAATGTCGCTTTGTCCGGAAGTTTCTAGCGTGTGACGTCCTTTTAGTCTTCGCCAATCCCAGGCGGTTTCGGTCACGTGACCATAGAACAACAAATCGATTCTATTCAATTATTTTTTTAGAAAAGTTATTATTTGTTTGTTCACACAGAATAGAAAAATCGCTGCTAATGTTCATATTAAATACAGATGCCAACAATTGATGCCAAAAATACAACCATTTGAATGGATTTGCATTGTAAAGAACATTTATTTTCTCAACAATTTTTTAACGATGATTAAAAGATATTAATGAATTACGCAACAGTTTCCCACGATTTACGTTTGGCTGGTAATTCGTATACATAATGACACAATTTGGAGTTTGGTAGCCGTAACATTTTGTCAATTCATCCATCATCATCAGTGAAATTATATTTTTATTACAATATAATACCTATCTATCTGTACTTCATGCCATTTCACCAGCTGTCCTATAGTTTTGAGCACCCTGTAATTAAAGTCTTTGTAAACAATGCTTTGAATAGAGACTGAACCCTTCAAGTTCTACTAATATTAAAAATGTGAAAGTTTGTATGTTTGTTACTCAGTCACGCAAAAACTACTGATTTCGATGAAAGGAGATTGCTCAGCTTCCATACATGTTTGGCCTAAAGACCAATAATCATGAAAAATTGTTTCGTAGATTCGAAATTACATATAAATTACTGTAGAAACGAATATTATTGACGGACACCCCTGAGAACTTCTATAAACCATATACACTGAATGATTTTAAGGTTATGTTTGCAAATAGGTACATTGGTATTAAAATAATAAAAAACAAATAAGTTATATGATAAACTAGGGAAATGAAGCCAAGTACCGAAATTACGCATTAGATTCAGGTATATAGAACAGGTAGATTAACAGATAGTTGCCTGTTTATAAAGTTAATGCACAAGAGTAACTTTTAAAATCAGGTATCATTTATGCATTTCCGGTTATAATAAGGTACTCTGTGACAGAAACTGTGTGATGATTGTGAATGAGCCACAGATTAGACAGAATTTTTAAACTCTCGTTAATTTAGTTAGCTAAGCTTCATTATTTTTGTTATGTTTTTACTATAACCATATTTTAGATTTTTAGTGTAAGACACCTTATAATGTGGTATGGAAGTGTTTGGCGAAAAATTTATGGCAATAGACTTTATGATGTCGCCTACCATCTATAATAATTATCTTAGCACATTTGCATCTAGTGAAAATGATAATATAGTTGTGGATATTAATACCACAGTGTAATAAAAAAAAGATGTATTTTATCGATCTTTACAAAATAGATTTGTTTTGATGTTATTTAAACAACTTTGATCAGTCTTTGGCTGAATGTTACTACATCCATAGGCATTAAAAATGATTCGTATGTTTTCCAAACCGGTAAAATTAAAAGTCCTTGTTAAAATGAATATATTATACAAAGGTGTCCGTTAAAATCCAATGACTGTAAAATGAGATATAAATTACGCCAAGAATTACCGCATATGTCAATATTTTTTGTACGTTTGGGCCAATTTGAGCAATCTCCTTTGGTACGCATATAGTTTATGACATGGATTGAGACATAGGGTAATCCCGTAAAAATGTTAGGTTTCTGAAGGATTTTCAAAAAACCGCCGCTGCCACTTATATTAATTTATATGTGACTTCTTTATAGAGATCAAGAGTCTGAAAACTCCAGTACCCTGGTAGGTGAACCGCCGCTAGTGGATGACTTTGATGCCAAAGACAAGAAGAGAATAAAGACGAGGTGAGAAAAGAGAACAAAACGCGACTTTTCACTAGTATCATTAAAAAAAAATTACACTATTTTTAAATGTGTATATATTTTTTTTTATTTATTTATTATAATTGCTACTTGATTGATAATATAGATTGAGCGAAGCAGCGACCGGCATCATGGGTGCGATGTCGTCCCGGCTCGCTTATATCACAGGATCCAATTCTATATCGAGGCCGACGCAAGAAGAGTGAGTTTATTTATTTATTTAGAAAAAGTTAACTATAAAAAAGAAATTGGTTTAGTTATAAATAATATTTTTAATGATTTAATGATTTATACAAAGAATTAGGTATTTACCGCGATTTAATGTTGACCTTGTATCATCATAGTACGTATGTGTGGCCAAGCGCTGCGCGCTTTCCACCTCTATCTTAAAAACTTTAAAAATGTTTAACTAAAATTATTGCAACTTTGAGCTCTACTAATTTGTTAATAACATTATTAGGATTGAACACCAAAAACCTATTTTTGTCACCTTTGACCTTTTATGACTTACACTAAATTTTATTAAGACTTTTGATCATATCTCAGACCAGTTACGCCGTGTTTTGTTCATATCACTCACCTCGTGCCATTCGTAATTCATTGAACAGATATAAAACATATATACTTATCCAAGCTTAATCTTTATTTATTAATAAAAATCTCGTGTTTTCAGCTTATTATTTTTTATTCTGAGGTGAAACCCAAAGAAGAACTTTGATTTCTGCCCAATTTGTACCTTGGTACAAATTATATCAAAAAACATCTAAAATTATACTTAAAAAGACTCACTCATCAAAATCTCAATAAATTCAATAGAAATTGATGAAAATCCGAATAAAAATATTTGTAAAAGGGAATCTGCATAGAAACGTTATTACTAAACGCAATTTGTCTTTGACTTACAGATGACAGCATACTATTGGTTGTATCAAAAATCACGTGACTGTTTTCGTCGCATTGTAACTATGGATATGTGAGATTTAATCGCTCTTTGTACACAGCCTTTTAACCAAACCTTTTAGATATTCTATATGTTTTTTGGTGGGCTTGTAATAGAATTTTTTGTTATGTTCAAGTTTTTGCCGATCAGGTGTATTTTTTTTTATGATTTGTAGCTTATTTTAAATCATTTAAACATGCACATTTTCCATAATATATTATCTGTGCCAATAATGTAATGCTTAAACGGCAAATTTTCTATCAATTCGGCGCATTTTTCTACATATATAATACTAAGAAGCAAAAAGTTGTTTCCGAAAGTTTCAATTTTTTATATCAATACAATGACGACACGACTAGGTACGCGTTCCTCTGAGACGGACAATAGTAATTTTACCTGGTTTTCAATATTAATTTGTGTATTACTATTACTTACTTACTGTCCAATTAGTAAACACGGCAACATACAAACCTTGCATGGTTTTTGTTCGCCGTCATTAGTAATTATAGTTGTATAAAGTTAAAACTTCAATATCGTTTATTCAGTCTAGGCTGTACAAGCACTTGTGAATGTCGAAAAGCTACGCCATCGGTTCGCAAGTCTACGGCGGGAGACCTTGTACTGAGAAGAACCGGCAAGAAACTCAGCAAGGGCTGTTTTTTTCTCCCTGTTTTTTTTTTCATACAGTCTCGTCCAATTAAAAGTTGACATCAAACTTGCAAACATGTGTTGAGATCAACTTCCATCCATATAATTTTTGTAAGCGAAAAATATGTCTAATAACGTGTGAAAAGGAAAAATTTTTAGGACGATTCAAAAGAGTTGTACTGTGCATCAAATTTGAATAAAGATATATTGATTTAATGAAATTGGGAAATAAAAAATTTCAGTATTGCGGTCCGTTCGAACCTAGACGCGTTGATAGCGCGAAGTCCATCGGACGAGTTCATATTCTCAGTGCCGCGCGATCCCTTCCTGTCGCCGTATTGGGCCGACGATCGTCTACTCTCCAGGTTCCCGCCCGTCAGAATACTGGTGAGTATAGGATACCATCCGCCCGGATTAGTCCGGACATGTCCGGACTTTTAGACTATAGTCCGGACTTTGTCCGGTTTTTCTAAATTACATTGAATATGAACAACAAAAGTACATATTAAATAAACATATTAAATACCATACCATTGTAACTAAGTGAGTAATGGTACCGTTTTGTGACTAAAAAGTCTGGGATTTTTACGTAATGTCAGGATTTTTGAAATTCCTAAATGGTAACCCTAGGTGAGTATGAATATCGAGAACTTATATTTTATGTGTTTAAAACTGTGTTTAGTTTGGAGGCGAATTTGGATTAGGTATAAGAATAGAGTGGACTCTTCTACAAGTGGAAGTGTCCCTCTAATAGAAAGAGAAATCTCTAATCGCGCATGCGCTGGCAACCGTAAGCATCTTACTATTTCGATGTGATGCCATTGGATGCCATGCGAGAGGGAGCTAGCGGACTCTCAACTTCTTTCTCTTTCTACTAGACGGACACTTTTAGGGCCGCCTTCTCCACTCTATTCTTATACTTCTATGGGTTGAAGCAGGGGAAGTGAGTGACGGGTACTGTCAGTCGTCCCGCGCAAACTCCGTTGACGTTCATAGCTTTAAGGTGGTTTTATTTTGAAGCCGACCGATAAAATATAGTCGTATTATATACATACAATACGTTATTGACGATCTCCGTGGCCGAGTCGTTTGTACGCCGGGTTTCATGGCTGTCGCCGACTCCCGGGTTCGAATCCCGGTGGGGGCAGATGATTGTGTGATGAATACGAGCATTTGTACTCCAGTCATGGATGTTTAATATGTATTTCTGTATAAATATACTTATAGATGTACAGTTTTTTTTTATTTTATTTAATTATTAGGGTAACGGATAGAATACAGTATATGTATTCTATACGTTATCCTAGCATCCCATAACACAAGCCTTACAGTGCTTACTTTGGGGCTAGGCTAATTGGTGTGAGTTTGGAAAATCTATCTTAAATCTATTATTATATACGATAAAAATAAATAAAAAAATGATTTCTAATCTTGGTTTATTTGACATGTCATCACACAAACTATTAACACTTCTATAATTTTGTTTTTAAACTACATGAAGTTGAAACTTGTAGATATTGACTCAAAACGTATTTCTGGCAACTGTTTTGATTTTAAGGGCTCGGTGCCTCTCTTATCTACTAATCTACCGAATCGACTGTAAAACTTGAAAAAACACGTTATACTTTATAATTTTGTATATTTGGCACTTGTTTTAACTGTTTAGTTTTGGCATAACTCCGAAGAGATATACATTTGGGCTTGACGAAAATTAGATACGCAGTGATAAACTTTAAAGAATTGCTCAATAAATTATGAATTTCTGTTTTAATAAGACAAACAGAAATAATCAATATACAAATCACTGTTTAGATGTAAACGGCCAAAATAAAAACTAACAAGTTGTGCGAAACAACAGAAAAAATATCCTCGGTACTGGGGCGTAAATAAAAATAAATAAATACGATACTAAATATTAAGAACTGCAATAAATACATGTTAAACATCCATGACTGGAGTACAAATGTTCGTATTCATCACACAAACATAAAAGGTATTAATGCATTTTGTTCTTCTGTGAATTAACGGTACACTTTAGATCCGTGCCTGGACTTGACGATGGCGACTAACTTCTTTTTGACGACCTCCGTGGCCGAGTGGTTTGTACGCCGGGTTTCATGGTGTCGCCGACTCGAGAGGTCCCGGGTTCGAATCCCGGTGGGGGCAGATGTTTGTGTGATGAATACGAGCATTTGTACTTCAGTCATGGGTGTTCAATATGTATTTCTATATAAATATATTTATATATGTACAATATATGTATTCTATCCGTTACCCTAAAATCCCATAAAACAAGCCTCACCGTGCTTACTTTGGGGCTAGGCTAATTGGTGTGAGTGTTGGAAATATTTATTTATTTTTTCTTTGTCTAACAGGTAGGATTATCGAAAACTATTGGACATTCATTACAGAGATATATTAATTTGAAATGTCCCATGACGTGATGGTACAAATTTTACTTAAAATTTCACGTTATGAGGCCCCATTCCCAAACTTTGACGCGCTTTAGCATTGTAATGTTTTGGTTGATATATCAAAAGAATTAAAGTTGGGCAAAATTGAGTTCAAAAGAGTTAGTTACATACAAACATGCAGGTGAAACTAATAAAAGCGTAATAAAACTAGTTTTAACGGGTTAATGCACGAACTTTATTTATTTATTGACCTTTCGCAGCCTTTTCAGGTCTGCATCGTCAGAATAATGATTTAATAGCTAAAGTTCGTGCATTAACCCGTTAAAAGTAGTTTTATTTAATGAGTGATGTGCGTGAAAACCTATGAAACAAACATAATAAAAGCGTGTTAAAAAAATAAATGTCCATTCCTTTTTGTTAATCTATTGGAAGTACTAAATAGAAGTCCGTGTACTATACCCCGTCGTCATCCCTATTTTCTTTATTTACATAAGAAATGAATTTATTCTGGTCGTCTTTCCGTCGCAGACGGTACACTTGGACCCGTGCCTCGACGACTGCGTGATGTTCGCCAAGAAGCTGAAGAGGCTCGGCAACGTCGTCGGCATCGATGTGCTGGAGGGTCTGCCACATGGATTCCTTAACTTTTCATTGGTATGAAGAAACTTTTTTATGACTTGTGATTTTATAGCTATACTACAAGTGGGTCACTTGCTCGCCTCGCTTCGCTTCGGTGAAGACTATTTCGGTTCGGTTTACTGTTTTTTTTCTCGGGTATGATTATACAGGGTTACAGGAAAAGTCGACCTAGATATTTAAGGATGTAATATAATGATGTGTACACCCTTAAATAATGATTTAGGTAAATGCTGATAGATTTGATTTAACCCTACCTACTGTAGAAAAGCTACCCGTTTTAAAAAAATCACTTTTTTATCGGATCGTCAAAATCACTCGGTTCCGCTAGTCGTTCAAAAAATTTCCTCCGAGTCCTTTACCAAGAAGAGTACAATCCTTAAACCTAACTTTTGCTGGAAACTCAAATCGTATCCAACTTTGTACCACATTTCAATAGAATTCATTTTATTTCTAGATGGCGAAAGAAGCGAACGAAGGCTCCAAACTGTGCGTGGAACGCATCAAACAGCTATTGGACATTGATATCCCTCCGGTAGCGGAGAACAACCACTTATGAATGTTCGGTTTATGTTGCCAGCCTTAGACTTAATGTCAATAACGTTGAAAAACGGATAACCCGTTCGGCAAACGGGCAACTTTATGGTGTCTTCGCGCAGCGGAATTTTCATGTCGGAGTTTATGAGACTCTGCGATTAGTCGAATTTTTTTAGTGGCAACCCTGTTTGGCTTAGGTTGTCTATGGTCAACTATGTTTGCAATCTGGAATGTTAAATTGTTTGGTGATTTTTTATAGTGTAAAAATATGATGATTGTTTGAGCTTGTAAAAAATTTTAAAGAGAAATGAAATTTAGGAGAACTATGCTTGTACTATTGCCAAAACATATAAAACTAATATGATAGCTACTGATGAAGACAGATGGTTTTAGAAATATTTAAAACTTGTAAACGAAATTTGTCACACTTGCCAAATATTTTAATACTCAGAGCAACAGCCCATAGTCAAGCCAGACGAATAAAAAAAAGGGTAAACATCTAAAAATCATATTGGCGTGAGAAAAACGTAAAAAATATATTTCTTTAGAAAATTGTCTATCAAAATAAAAGGAAGTCTTATAAAAGGAGGTAAGAATCGAATTGAAATTTAATGTCCCTGTTATGTTTTATTGGTTGTAATTTTTGACGGTTTTAATATTTATCTTTATCGATTTGAAAGACATTTGACTAATACTTTTTGTAAGTAAAGTTAAGTGTATTTTTTGTCATCAATACACTTGGTCGAGTGAATGATTGAGAAATTATATCGGTTTCCCACGTAATTTATCTGTGATGAACGAATTGTACTTTATATTATTAGATTCATTCATTCGACTAAAATGAGATTTGAAACAAAGGAATGTTATTTTTTTACTTTTTTTATATTTATTGAAATTCACCATTTTTATTGTTTATTGTTACATTATATTTTGTTAGTAATAATTAAATATACTAAAGAGACAATGTTGGTGTATACAATTTTACATAAAAATTGCTTTTATTTCGTTACAATAAGAGTTAAAATTTAGTACATCCATTGTCGTTTGAGTGTACAAATATGCATTTTCTATACGCGATGTTAGAGGTTTATGCATTTTAAAATTATTATAAAACTGAAATATGTGCACGATATTTTTTATTTTTATTTAATTTATGAAAAAAATACCACAATACCTATTTAATTTCTATAAATTACGCTAGTGTTCATAAGTTACGTAAATGTTTGTCGTTAGGTGGAAGTGAGACAGCGTAAGAAACATTATTTTTGTCGCTTTTAAACTTAGATTAAAACAAAAAGGGTTGATACGGCACTAGCCTCACAAAAGTGATTCGCATAAATTGTGGTCCACGACCTTAATCGCTTTAGTCACAACTTGACATGCAAACGACGTACATGTGAGCGCCAAAAAGAAATATTGCTAATATTTTGTGTTTATATGATAAAACAATGCCTAAGTGTGTTTCTAAAAAGTGCTGAAATTGCTCAAGTACTAAAAATAAAACCCACGGCATCACTTTTCATTCGTAAGTACTATAAAATACATTTTTTCATATAAATTGCTGTTTGTTTTGAATCTGATTCGGTATTGACGTCGAGTACTGGTCGCGTGATTGGTCGGTAGTGCAGTGACGCGGATCTCGCCGTCTCGTTCGCGCTGCCGTTGAAACTTATCGTGCTGTTTCGTTCGGGTCGGTAATGCAGTGATGCGGATCTCGCCGTCCCGTTCGCGCTGCCGTGGGATCAGTTTTTGTTTGATGCAAGTATGAGCGTACCGTACCTACCCTTTTTGTTTTAATCTAAGCTTTTAAATGTTTATTAAATTAATACGTTAAATACCTATCTATATGGTAAATGTTTCGAAGAGCACTCATCTTTGAGTTAATGAAAGAGAGTACCTCGATATTTACAAAACATTATAAAGATTCGAAATTAGTATCTCAGTTCACAGTACATTGTCATTTGCCAAAAGTAAATTATTCAAAAACAGTTTTACATTTTAAGGTTGCTTTGAAATGATCAATATTAATGCTCGTATAACAGAATGATAGGTAAGTGTTGATCTTTACAGTTAGAAGGGGATGTCGCTCTGTATAGCACATAGCGACATCTGTAATACGAGCCTTAGAAGAATACTTTGAAATCTGTCAGTTTACACAATGCTGAACTCTGGACAGCACTAAAGAAAGACTAAAGTTAGTAGTGCTTATCATAGGGCACACGAGGTGTCAAAATTTGGTTACAAATCATTACGGAGAATAAGTTAGATTGGTTTAAACTTTCATGGTCACTAACATTATAGCTACTAACGGGATTGTTACCATGTACCTTGTTTTTTATGAGTCTCTGATATTTCGAAACTGTTGCAAGCGCCACGATCACGCCCGCAATTATTTCAGTTATGAAATATTGCGGGTAGATGTTATTGGCAGACATATCGGTCTACCCTCTGACGTAGTCTTTTATTGTGCTCGATACCCCTACTAAAGCAGAGTTTTGGCCGTAAAAGCTTTCTTTAAAAAAACTGAAGTATTAAGGTACTAGGTAGGTATAGAGCAGCAAAAATAAATTCATTTCAAAAATAAAGTAAATATTTTAACCACGTACTATATTTATATCCTTTTTTTGTCATCTACTATAATTTTAGAGGTAACAGCTTCGCAAAATACTATATTAGATAGAAAAAAGTTGATAACCCTACCTACCACTGGTCACATTCCCACTATTCACTCGCACCTGGAGCCTGGCGACCTGTACTACAGGCCTTTAATGCCTACTTCAGGCACCAGCTTTTCACACTTCAAATACGTAGCTTTTAAAATATTTAATGATGGCTGATGCTTAACCGATTGTATTTGTATTATATTTTTTTGTAAATTTCAGTGTGTGAGAAGTGAACAAATATTATTATTATTACCTGTTCCCGACACTCAATACACACAGTATCAGTTAACGGAAGGACTCTTTTTCATTTTTGCTGTTTTCCACATACGAACCAGTGGTTTCCAGACACTTGATAATTTAAATCCATCCTCACGTTTGAAATTCTTGTGTTTGGTTATTTCAATCGCTTCCCTGACCAATCTTGGTATGTAGTGGCGTTCTGTCGAAATAATTAGTGGGTATGGAGCTCAATCGTGATTACGACCCAAATCAATGAAATGCTCCGCGATGGCTGACTTTTGCGTATCATCGTATCATATCGGAGACTCATAAAAAACAAGGAACATGGTAACAATCCCGTTAATAGCTATAATAATAAGTTAGACTTATTTTTATATTTCTGTTTGAGATTTGATACATCACGAAATTGGTCCGCTCTTGCCAAATTTATACCGTGTTCTTATTACTGACACAGTATTTAATAAATGTACTGTCAACAAAACCATTGATGAAAGGATAGGAGTGGCCAGCCACGTTGTAAATATTGATTTTATAAAAAAATTAGGCTCCATTCAGTATTAAATGATTTTAAGTACCTATACACCATTTTGATATTACATACATAATATAAAACTATTTAATATTAATTATTATATACTATTAATAATGAAGTTTCAAATTAAATGTAAATTTATATGAAAATATAAAATTTTTAAGGAAACTTGTAAACTTACATCTATAGTAGCATTAGACTGAAAGTACCTGTTAATAATATTTATAATAAGAAATTTGAAATTGATCGTATTTCAATTAGAACTCGAAATTTTAAATGAACACAACTTAATGTGAAAAGTGTGTATATGTGAGTTTGTGTGAGTGAAACTATATTAGTACTGATTATTCACGTACTGCTTCTAAATTGACGCACATATAATATTAGCGCAGTTAATTACCAATCAACTTTAGGTCTTTTCGTACTTGGTGGTAAAAAAACGGGACTTATTTTGTAGCGTTCCGCGATGGTTTTCATTTTATATTTCGGAAAGGTTAAAAGTAAAAAGGATAATTAATTGTGTGTTTCGGAGTGCATACAATCCGACTCTTTTTATAGCCAGAGTTTAGGCTTTCTGAGTAAGCTCGTTACGACGTAGCTATCTGCACTCTGACTTTATAGAGATCAGGAACAAACGCCTTAAACAATAAAAAAGGGATTTGATGACGCTTTTCTAATAAAAATCATTAAGGGGATCCCGAAAGGAGTTAAAGTATGACAATCAGCCCTACGTAATAACGTACCCTCAACAGTGTTAGCTTCAACACCATTAAGACCATTCTCATTCGTAAGACCGATTCCTTGAGTGAGAGACATTGGTGTAAAGAGAAGTAGGGCCAAGGGCATCGCCTTTGCTAAAATATAAATATAATATCCTAATTATTGCGTCAGCTCACACAGAAACGAGACGCGACGATTCGCACACATTTTAATAGGGCGACTCAAAACATAACGTTACTAGCAAACCAGTGAACCAAATATTCACCAAAAAAAAAATGTATTTAATTAATTGAGAACTTCGGAGATTTTGTGTGGTTTCGTTTAAAATAGAAATCACGTGATTTCTCGAAAACCGGAAGTGCTACGTTACTCACATCCGGTTTGTAGTCTTATCAGACTATTCTCAACTTATAACTTAAACATTCTCTTTATCTATCTCTTACGGTTTGGCCGCTGAAACAGCACCACGGACGGATGGACGGACTTGTCTAATAGATAAGAGATATATTACACGAAAAGAACACATTTAACAGTATGAAATTTTGAATTTAGCATACTTTGCACCACGCGTATTCTGCCCCTCTAGCATGACTACCGAAACGGGATATAATAAAGCGATTTATGGGCATTAACTGTCAGACTACAGTGGAGTTTCACAGTACTCTGACAGTTAATGCCGATATATCGCTTTATCATATCCCGTTTTGGTGGTCATGCTAGAGGGGCTGAGTTCAAACAATGAAATGTGGATCTTTTCGTGTAATAAATAAAGTTATGTAGTGTTGCTCTATTAAATTAAAGCGTCGCGTCGTGAGCTGACGCTTAATGAAAATGCTTTGATTAACAAACAACAAGCAAAGGAAACAA